GAGCGCGAGCAACTATTAGCTGGTAAGCAAAAAGAAAAAAAATTTTCATTTCAATCAATTTATTTCTGCTTGTTTCGTTTTAGTTCCATTCAACAATTCAATTCAATTCAAACGAATGTAAGTATAATTATTTTTCATTCCTGTTGTTTTATTTTTTGTAACTTTTTTTTTTGATTTTTCAAATAAACTTTATTCAAATAACTCAAATTTTTTCTTTTCACTTTACTTATCAATTATTTTATCTTATCAATAAATATTTTTATGTTAACAATAAATTATTTCAAAATAACTCAAATTTTATTTTACATTCAAATAACACAAAATTTATTTTCATTCAAATAATACAAAATTTATTTTCATTCAAATAATACAAAATTTATTTTCATTCAAATAATACAAAATTTTATTTTTTCATTTAAATCATAAATATTTTACGAAAAGAACAAATTAATTTTCATTGAACTACTAAATTATTTAATCTTACTACTAAAATATTTTATTTTACTACTAAAATAATTTTCAATTTACTACTAAAATAAATTAATTTTACTAATAATTTTTTTTTTCATTTTAAAAACAAAAATTTTATTTTTTCATTTAAATCATAAATATTTTCAAAACCACAATTTATTTTTTTCACTTTAATAATTAATATTTTTTGCGAAAAATAATTTTTATTTAATTCATTTCTTTTCATTTAACAAATAAGAAAAATAAGAGAAGAAGAAGAAAAGAAACATATGACGTAATTTTATATTTTTTTTTCTTTGAAGCGAAAGAGTAAAAGAAAATTTCTTTTTTTTTTGTTCATTTATTTCAAAGTATAGAAAAAGAAACGAACAATGAAAAAACAATTCACAAGTCTTATTCGATAGAAAACCGTTGAACACGAGCATTACCCCAATCGACGACATAGAGATTACCATGTCGATCAAAGGACAAGCCAGCGGGGTGCTTGAACTGATTTGCTCCTTCTCCCCAACCATTCCCACCCACAATTACAGTGCCTTGTTTCTTGTCTCCTTGAGTCCAACGCATTACACGATCATTCACTGAGTCTGCTACATAGAGTATACCCAACGTATCAACGAAGATTCCATTAGGCCAATACAATTGTGTCAAAGCACTCCCTTGGCCTTGTCCTCCAGCGACCACAATACCTTCTTTTGCACATTTATTCCATTTCATTACACGATTATTGTTGAAGTCTGATACGTAGACATTTTGTTGTCGATCGACAAAGATAAATGTCGGCAAGTTGAGCTGATTGAGACCATTACCTTCACCATTACCACCAGCTACGAGAGTGCCATTCTTCTCACCCAATTGATATCGTCTTACTTCATGTTTTTCGACGTCAGAAACGTAGAGATATCTCTGATCATCCATAGCTATTCCATGACAATCAATGTTGTCGATGAGTATTTCACCTTGTGTTGTACCACTACGACGAGACCATCGTACAACTCGTCGATTGTCTAGATCACAAATAATGAGACTATCCGTCTCTTTATCAATTAATACATCAGTTGGACCATTCAATTGATGTAATCCATTTCCTTGGCCTTTACCACCAGCAACAACTTGTCCATTCGTTGTATCACCGTTCTTCCATTGCATGATACGATGATTCCTGTAGTCAGCAATAACCACTGTTTGATCATCATCAACGAAGAGACCACGAGGCAAGTAGAGTTGATTAGTGGCACCCCCACCCACGTCACCTTCAGCAATAGTCACTC